GAATAGGACATACAGTGGGGTGAGGGTAGTTTGAAGTGAGAAGCCAACTGCTGATTAATAGACTTTTTGCCGTATGAGTATACGTTGCCCAGGGTGCACCACGTGGAAGTAAGTCTATCGCACACCCCTTCTAATTAATATTGCTATTTAACAAAAACAATTTTAAACCGAAGTTCTAACGTTGAAACATTAGAATAATCCCGTCATGGAATGAAAATAGGTGCCAAATTATCCTTCAATTTCTTGAAAGAAGAATCGTTCGCCGAGGCATATGTTCAGTGGGCATGCTTATTTAAAAATTAAATTTTCAAGTTATTTCTAACTCCCTCTCAACCCCTCCCCCCCCCCCCCCCCCCCCTCCCCACTTGGCTCGTTTTTCCCCTTTTCGCTTTTGAACTGGAGACACATCGACCCCTCCACCCCCCGCTCCCCCACAGACGTTTAAGGCTTCAGTGTACTTCATGATAGGCAAATGTTAATGACCTTGTCAAACGCATTAAGGCGAATAGAAAAGCAATTATGCAAGCCATTTGTCACTTTTTTTATAAAGAATAAAAAAACGGTGAATGAAATTAATGATGTTTAATAGGCGAAACAAAAATTATGAGATAAAATTATTTGACCTATGTGCGTATTTTACCGCAAATGAATTCCATGTAATTTGTATCCTAGTTAATTTATAAGTACCAAATGACGAGCTTAAAGAAGTCCACCTCATTTTTAAGGATTTCAATTGCGCTTTCACCTGGGTCCAAGCATATTTTGCATAAAAGTTGAGAGCATAACAAGAGAAAGCAGTTTAATCTTGCTTAAAAGTAGTTCATTCAAAACTTTTTTTTAAAATCGTTGAAGTCGAAATAGGGTCTGACTAATTTTACCACCCCCTCCCCTATATTGAAGAGGAAAAGTATGGGAGTTTTGAAATAGAAGTCCAAAATTAGAGGGAATGAAGTTGACGGAAGTAGACGACATGAATCAGACAAACACTGACTTTCAACGGTACCAACGCAACCGATTGTCATCGTCTAGATCCCAAGTGGCATTTCCTTAAAGGGTCCGTTTTTTAATTTCTCATTTGTAATTCCTTACAACCATTCAGGTGATAAGGCAGAGGGCGCTGAATGAGCTGAGTAAAACTTTCCATCACATCATTATAAGTCAATTACTTCCATATAACTTGCCTGAGTTTAGAATCCCGTGTACAAATAGGTTTATACGGTATAATAACTATTTACGAGCTTGAAAAGTATGTGAGTGGCATCTACCTCAAACTCCGAACCAGACCCAATGATCTGAATTTTTATGCAATTTTCAGCCTCGTTAAAACCTTTGCCAACTATTAACCAAGTCATTTTTATTTACAACGAATCAGGATTAAGGTTCAATATATACATAGCAATTTGCCCGGTTTTGTTTAATGGATGCAAACTCAATAAATAAAGCATCTGACTGGATTTTCCATTTCTTTATTACATCTTTCTAAAGAAGGCCGTAAGGCAAACGTTTGCCACCTTCTGAAGGGCTTGGCATTTGTTGATCCAACGTCTTCGAAATCCGCCGATAACGTGCCACGATTCCGTTCAAATAACACGTTTTTTTTCAGAAACGGTAATCAAGATTAATGACAAGTAGATTTCCTTAAGTAGTGCCAGCAACCACATTATACATTTTTCTCAATTAAAAGTCGATTATTTGGAATCGTTGAAGTGAAAAACTGCAGTTCCGTCTGCAAACAACGCCTTAAAAGTCCATGTTTTATTCGAGGGAGCGTATTGAATTGCCATTTATTCAAATTGAAAATTTCTTAAATAAATAAGATAAATTTAATCAAATTAATAAATTTCAATCATTTGAATTTTATTTACAATTGTTGATCTGTGTATATTTTTGAACTTCTTCAGTTTGTATTGGGCTTTATTTCCTGTAATTTGCTGTATATATTTTCCAACAATTATAGGGAATTTATTGCATAACGAAGTATTCTAGCTTAATCAAATTTTGACTTTGTCATTACTTAATTAATCCTTTTCTACTCAAATCCATTGAAATAATAACTGAAAGTAAGAAGCTCGCACATCTAATTGTCGTTCAAATTTCCGCTTTCCATTCGCTTATCTCCTAATGCACTTTGTAGAGAGAGAATGTTTACTCTCATTTTAATATAAAATTTGATAGCATTCATATCATCTACTTCATCTAAAACAACTTTTTTATAAAAATACCTTTAAGGTTCCTTTATAAATATGGCCTTATTTCAAAGTCGCATTGAAATGATTTTCTATAGTAGTAACAAATCAGTTGATGTGTTAATCCAATGAAATTATGGTATTGGTGGCCTATAATGATTATTTGAACAGGGGGTTTTAAATTTATAGACAATGAGAAATTCTTTAATTTAAATGGGATTTGTTGATAATTTTAAGTATAATGAAAGCGACTGAACTCAATGAATGACATTTTGCATAAATAGCATTGAAGACTGGAAATTGGAGTTGAAATCGGAGTGCTGCGGTGGAGCATCGTGTAATGCATTCCACATAATCGCCTAAATGTAATGTTTCCAATGTACAATCAAATTGACATTTTATGCTGTCAATTTTCAAACAATATATATATATATATATATATATATATATATATCCAACCGAAAAGCGAATTTCTCATAAATATGAAAACATGAATTTGAAGATCACAACGTATTAGAGCATTAAAAGATTGCCGCAATTTGAATTCCAGACCCACGAAGTGGATAAAATTTACGGTTTGACTTACCAGTTTGCTATACCCGATCGGCTCATAACAGAGTCTATACAAGACCACCGGCCATTCACTTTAATTACTTCGTTGGTCACACTTTTCCACTTCGAGAGCATCTTCTAAAGTACCAAATGAAGCAAGCATCTTTCAAACTTAAGAAATTCAATGGACTTCGCTCAGGACGAACTTAACTTAAGAGTTAATTAAATCTTTGCAAGATTTTCATAAATAATCCTTTAAAATTGAAGACTTCTGGTATAGATTAGACTTTGTTTATGTGCTAAAAGCGTAGGAATAGACAAATGGGAGTCTAAAATTTTCCAAGCATGCTTAATTAAAAAAGGTAATTAAATTAAAGTGAATCAAAAAGAATATTTAGTACTTGAAAGATATTGAACATAGTTGTGCCAATGTGACTATTTACTGAACTTTGCTAGAATAATATAATAGAATTCACTTTTATACCATTTTAATGTATTTAATACTTTGGAAATAATGAAAATTTAAATGAAATGGATTTTCTCTGTCTCTTCAAAAAAAATTTTTGAACGATTCACTAAGCATAGTAAAAACATGTTAATCGAAATTGAGATAATTCGCTGGCTTCAGGGATAATCAGAGGCAACTAGTTGTATGGCAAATGAAAAAGAACATGGAAATGTATCTGCCTTAAAAGTGTGTACAAAGAAATAGAGCGATTCGAGAATTCCATTCACCATTCCTGGTCACTTAATCAGTTTCAAGAAGAGAAATGTTTAAATGTCACCACATAAGGGTTTTCTTTCACTGCACTTGGGTTAATAAAATTTTGCGTTATTTAGACGACACAATGATTATTGTGAAGGAGTATAGCAGTGAGGAGCAGCAACCCCTCGTGATTTTGCGTCGAGGTTACAGTCAGAACTTGTCGACTGCGCATCAATCAGGACTCAATCCAAATTGGTGGAAAGAGCAAATCTTTTCTAGAAATTTCCAGCTTCCACAAAGCCAGCATTTTAAGCTCATTCATCAACAGCGGCACAATCACCATCACTACCTTCTCTTTAATCGAGCTCAGTCCTTCTTCCACTCCCTCGATGATTTCCTACTTCCCGACAGGCCAAAAATTGAAGTTAGTTTATTATTAATTTCGTTTTTATGGTTAGAAAACTATTCAACACTTGTAACTGAAAATTTGAATTTTGATATCGCGAATCGTTGCATCATAAGTAAAATAACTCATTCAAGGTGTAACGTTTCCGTCATGTTGTAGAGGCGACCTCTTGCACAAAGGCTAAAAAGTTTTCGTCATTGACAAAAAATATAATTTGTCTAAAGTGGAAAGAAAACACATCATTTGAGTAACGTTGCATACATGACCAGCCACTCCCCTCATCAACCCTCCCCCCTCCTCCAGAAGATGGATGTCTAAGCACAAAATTCGAAAATTGTGACAAACAGTTGATTCAACAATTTGATGCCTCCAGAATTCAAATTAAGAATAGATTGGCTTCACTCCACCTCACACCTTCCTCTATTTTACCCGGCTATTTCTCCTCTTCAGACGTTTTCCTTTATGGACGAAATTGAGTAATAATTTTTTCGCTAATTTTTTTCTCCACTTTGTGGAGTTATGACGAGCTTTCCAGTAACAAATCTTGCTATTTTATTAATCAAGATTTGAGTCCTCAGGGCTAATTTGTGTTGATGCAAAACTCTTAATTTCCTGAAAATGTAATTCGTTTTTTGTTGCTCCTGAGATATTACTCTGATTTATATTTCTCAACAAATAGATTATGAGAGGCTGGTTTTTTTAAACAAAACATTAAGTTCCCTCTAATGAAAAAGAAGACACTTAAGAGATAAATGTTTTGGCTACTATAATGGGAAATACATTTTCGAGCAATGCAATTGTCGATTTGAAATTATTTTCACTGATTTATTACTTTCCAATTGGTCGGATGGGAATCTCTTTTTTTAAATAAAACTTAACTTTTGTAAAAATTATTATTAGCACAGATTTAAATAAACTAAACTGTTCTTTAACTGGTCGGTAAAGGTAAAATTAGTACAGCATAAATGAAATTATTAAAACGTATAATTTGGCACTATTTCATTGTAAAATAAATTTAAATTAAATTTTAAGGACCTGATGTAAGGAGAGAGGCAATATCAATAAAATTTATAAAAATAAATTATTGAAGATTTTAGATGCAAAAAGTCGTATCTATATTGGGAACGGTAAAATGAACACCATTTAACGAAATAGATTTTTACAGAAGAATACTTGAAAGCAGTCCTCATCCGCAATCTTCAACATAGTTCATGGAACTGTTTCCACAATCTACCTCGCAACAAGCAGGGAAAACATTTCATTTGCTCTCCTGAAGAATTCAATTATCCTCCTTGCGTATAATAGGAGCTTGACCAATGAAATGCTTACTTCACTCCACAGACCTCTTAATTCACAAATGCATGAATTTAATTTAATTAGTTGCCATTGTAGTACTGTTTTTTGTTCATATAGAACTTGAATATGTCAGTAGGATTGTGGCGAACTATTCGTCTCTTAGACCAGATTTCTTCATTGTCTATACTCTGCGTACGTGTGTGTGCAAAATTTATTTATTTATTTCAAATGGCAGGCTTTTTTGACTTCAGCTTCCCCCAAGAGGGGGGGGGTACATTTAAAGCAGTTAATTAATAGCAGTTCATTAGCAGTCTTCTTGCTTACCTTAATCTTTGACTTCAGCTTCCCCAAGAGGGGGGGGGGGTACATTTATAGCAGTTAATTAATAGCAGTTCATTAGCAGTCTTCTTGCTTCCCAATATCTTTGGCTTTCCGTCCTTGTCTTTATAGCTGGACAAAGAATCAGGTGGGTCTTCTCCATTTCCTCATGTAGGTTAC